CTTAATATTTTTGATCAATTAAATGTAGATACTCTTCTGCATATATTTATACTTAATGTTGATAAAACTGTTCGTGGTCATGGACTTGGATCACGTCTTATATCAAAAAGTATTGAATACGGGAAAGAATTAAAACTTGGTGGTGCATATGCAGAAGCATCAAATGTTTATTCACTAAATTGTTTTAAACAACAACAATTTGAAATTTTTAATGAACTCATATATTTAGATTATAATCCAGAACGTTTAGCTAATCTTAATGATAAAATGTATGATCGATGTTATCTTGTAGCTCGAAAATTCTAATTTTCAATATTATAGAAAATAAAATCTTCATCTCCTTATTTTATTTTTTAATTGAATTCTACAATCGTAATCGATTCTATTACCATCTCTTGATATTTCTGATGTAAATTTGTGTATATGAAAATAAATAAGCATTTTTTGCTGACGAAAATTCATTGATTGTCCTTAATATGAAATTCGCACTGTGTTACATTGTAGTGCATCAGCTGAATACTGCATTTTGATCAATATCTCTTATTCTATCGAAAATTCAGCACCAGGAATATCTGTATTAAATGATAATGATGAACAAATAATGAACGAGTAAAAGAACTGCTGGTAGATAAATGTGCTGACCATTTTTCTGCATTCGAATCGAAGGAACATTGATCAACGCATTCGTCTAATTAAATACTGTCAATTATAAATCATGGAATTAGCTACCTAGATCTGCGAACTAAAATCATTTTATAATAAAAAAGCGTTAAAAGATCAAATGAAGTATACTGTGAAAAGGCTAAGAAAGAAATATTCTATATTCTGCACTTGATTTTACTGTATAATCATGTTTGACCCCGAAAAGAAACGGAGGAAACTGAAATTATTAAATAAGCCGTACCATTTTCTGGAGAATTGATGCAGAAAATAAAGAACAGATTTTTAAAGTACGAACAGCGCAATTATTTATATGATACTGAAAGAAATTATTTTAGTGGCAAGCTCATCTATCAATATAGATTTAGATGTAAAACTATCATTCTTTGATTACTAGGAAGTATTTTTCATCTGTAATTGATAAAGGTACTCATTATTGTACAGGATAAAAGGATATGGTGCAAGAGTATAATCAATATTCAGAGCTATACGCTGTATTAATAAATCTTTTTAATTTGCGTCACTTTTTTTTGTTTCATGTCATCGGAAAGTAATGTGTTCTAATTTAACTATTTTTACATAAAATACAAATACAAAAAGAAACAATATTGAATAAATAATCATGACTTTAAGTTAGATCAGGTGTTTTACATATTAAAAAAATCGATGATCATTTTATATACAAAAGAAAATAAGATTAAAATGTATTATTTCATGGTTAAATCGCTATTTGAAAATATTGATCGAAATTAAATGAAGAATTTTCTTTTTCAACAATCGTCATTTAAACAGAAAGTCAATTCTGAATAAGGAAAATGCAAATTATTTTAAAAAACCTATTCTTTTTCAATCTGATTTATTAAAAATAATCTCAATTTTGAAGAATATTTTCAAATTATTATGGTATCTCATTGAAGAAATCGATCATACCAAATTTGACTAATTCCAAGATCTAAGTAGAACTTATTTAAATCATTAAAAAAAAAGAAAATTCGATGTTTTATTTAAAATACGAAATCTTCTTATCAACGATAAACAAAGAGAAATCTGAAATGATTTAGTTCATGGAAGAAGTTTTAAACTGAATACGATTGATTCGTCCTTTTGTTTTTAATTCAAAGAAACGATATTATCAAATAATAGCAATCAATGAAATATAACCAAAACCTAAAAACGAACAAGTGTTTTCTTTGATCGATTGCAATTTTCATTAATAAACTTTATATTTTCAAAAAATTTTCTTTTAAATCAATTATTGTTATAGTTTAAGAAATTAAAAAAAAAAAGAAAATATTGCTGATAATGATCGAATGAGATCGATTGATCAACTGATCGATTTTTCAATCGTTCATTGAAACAAAGATTTTCAGAAGATTTTAATACAATGATTCCAATCATATGAACAAATCAAATTAAATTTATTTCACAAATTAATAAACAGCATAAATGAATAATTAAGAAAATTTTATCTTTTCGATCAACAAAATCAAATTAAAATTCATAAAAAAAAACAAACAAACCAAGCTCTTTTCTTTTCTCAAGGAAACTAATTGAAAGAAATTCATAGAAAAATCTTTCTTTTTTCTTCATTAAGTTCTTCATAATTGTTTCTCGATTTTTTTCCGAAAACTTTCAAATTAAAGGGAAATTCTGACAAAAGAAAATTCAATATTCAGTGTTGATCAATAGATTAATAATACATTCAAAACTCTTCTATTGGTTTTTTTCAATGAGAATGATTGTCGACTATTGTTCATTATTGAAAAGATTAACCTATAGATTGACATTTGTTTCCTCTTTTCAATGAAAAAAGAGCAAAACAATTGATTTGTTTGATTGAAGTTATCTGAATAGGAAACAGTCGAGTTTTCATCATATAGTTATCAAATGATCAAATTATACAGATCATCTAGTAGAATTCAACATTCTATTTCATTTGAATTTTCATATAAAGAAAAATAAATATCTGTTATTTTTATTGAATCTTTTGTTCTTTTCTTTCAAGTTTGTGAATTGAAATGATATTTCGAATTCAAAGATATTTCCTAGAAAAAATCTTTGAAAATATTCAAAAGACATAAATGAAATTTCTATTGAAATGGTGGTTCCTTGATCTAATTCATTGTGATACGTTTATAAAGATCTCATTTCATCATTTTAATGTTATACTGATCAAACATAATCAAAGATCATTAGGACGAAGTATAGAGACTGTGCGGAAACGACATCAGACCCTATCAAATGCATAAGAAACTGTCTGACCAACAAGAGCAGCAAAATCACTATAACATTTTCTTTATACTGAATTTATCGACCAATTTTCTGTGAAATCTAGAGCGAAGAGTTTTTTTTTCTGGTGGAAATCCCCAGTAATGCTACCTCAATGGATATATTTCAATCATTCATATAGCCTCTGGCCAAAATAAGTAGTACACCTTTTTTTTTCGACTATTCCTCTCTACTAGTGTCGTTCGATCTCATATTTACATCACAGATAGATCTTTGATTACTTGACTTCTTTTTCTGGTTGTACCGCACCCATAGTAAACAGATCATTGCTACTGACACCGTATTTTAGCAAACTCTTTGAATTTAGGTCATTTGAGATCAAATTCAAATGAAATCCAAACCTAACCTTTTAGATCCAAACAAAATCCAAACCCAAACCTAAGCTCCAAACTCAAATCAGATATCAATAGTCTTGATCTCAAATCCAACTTCATTCGAGATTTGTTGCACTCCTAGTTTTTCGGGTCTTGATATCGGTCTAGAGAAAACTAAACTAAATCAGAATTTATTCGTATCACATCTATAATAATTCTTCAATACTCATTTTTCTCATTATTTAGTCGACGACTAGACTTTTACGGCTCATTTTTTTGAATTATTTTCTGATTCATATGATTTACAAGATAATTTGATTAAAACCATATAATATTTTATTATACATTTCAATTCAGTCCCATTAGTTTTCTCGAGATCTCGGTCCCGTTACTGATGCCGGTGGCCAGGACCGAAACCAGACCTGCGACTAGTCAAGTATATCTATAATGTTGACATGTTTTTCTTTTTGTATTACAAGATATGAGTGTAACTATAATAAATTGATTTATGATACACGAAAAAGTACACTTGAAAACTGACAGAGTTAAGGATATTATATAGCCTGAGATTCAAGTTCTGATCACGGTAAAGTTTTTTTCTGGTCCCGCTCTCTGCTACCAGGACCGGGACTGGTCATGCACATCTCTAATCAGAACATATATTTACTTTTATGAAAAGATATTTCTATAGTGATGAAAAATTGAAAAAATTAATTTAGGAGGCACTAACAAAATCCACTCTATTAGACTCTGTTGATCAGAATGTCTTCATTCTGTTCTATTTTTTTTCTATCACATAACTGCAAACTAAAACATAAATACACAGTATGATAGAAAACGCGGAGTGCTTTCAGGACATGTCATTATTTTTTTAAGAATATATTTTTATAGTGACAATATATTTAAAATACGGACTGCAAATATTTATTTTCGGGGGTATATATCTATAATACGATTATATGTTCTTTGCAATGAAGTTTGTTACCTATGCATTATTATCCCACATTTTACTGAACAGTAAAAGATTTATTATGATAATTAATGTCGCCCCTACAGCCATTTCTAAGTTTCTATTGAAGTAAGATTTTCTGGATGAGTACAAACTGATTGTTGTTCAATGCAGTTTCATGAACATTCTTACCTTGATGTATTGGAACGAGATGTTCTACAAGTAATACATGAATATATCAACTTGTATGGTATTTTACTGGCATGTCAGTTTGCAGATACATCATTATCAAAAGTTACGTCTTGAAATTTCAATCGTTCAAGAGAAGATTTTTATCATAAATAGACAAAAAGATAGACAATTGATTCCGATGGATTTTGATTAAAAACTTCACAGGTGAGAAAAATGGATATTTTTCCTTCTGCCTTCTGTTGGCCATCTCATGATAAACATGAGTAGTTTGTAAAGATCGCTCTGAATCAATCTTATACACATCAATTTTATGACAAAGAAGTTCTTATAAAGTTCCTCGTCTAGTGAACTATTTATGCAGAACAAATATGATTGATTAAAATTTAATTTTATAGATTCCCATCTCATACTTAATTATAATTGATGGATAAATAGTCTCAGATTATTTTGACCAAGATCATTTCTGAAAAAATCAAAAAACGTATGATTTTGTAGATTGTTCATTGGCCTTTCCTAATAGATAAAAACTCATGATGCTTCTTTTCCTTGTTAAGATATTAAGAAAATAGTAAGTAGAAGAATAAGAGTACAATGTAGACCATATCCATCATAATCGTGTTGAAATCGAGAGGCGGCTGTTCCACAAAGTTATTTAAAAATATATTATCCCGCCTTTGTTTTTCAAGTAGGTATTAGTTCTACAATACAATTGATTGAATTAATTGTTAAACAGAACATTGAACGAACATTCAATGGTTTGTTCAATAATTTATGCAAAATAACACAAAACATGGATTACAAACATATAGATATTGCCAGCATCTAGGAGAGAAAAACTACAATGAAAGACATTGATGAGAGTGATGACGAAATCTGTGACCAAATAGAATTTGGACATTCAA